TAATTTTGCTTTGTATATTATGTTTATAATGCTGAAAACGGAGAAACCCCTTAAATATGTTAAGCGAAAAATTTACTATCGTATTGTAGCTAATCAAAGATTAGATTACATTAAGAATAAATTATAATATTTATACCAGTGATTTAGCAATAAATAACAGTGTATATTTAAAGTAAACAATAGTTTATGTTAAGTCATATTGTCACAAGTACTACGACTTAAGGAGTTATGACCACTTACAAGTCACAAGTTTTTGGGTAAAAAAACGCATTTTATTTAATAAAAAAAATTACAAACAACTTCATTTACCGAATTTGAGGTACTTTAATAAACGGCAATTCCTTCTGAAAAGATTGTGAATTTCCTTTATTCCGTAGACGATCTCGAGAACCTTCGGTGATGAAGTCTTTGCAACTTAAAATTATTTCAAAAGAAGAACTACTCAAAATTATGATTTTCGACCAAATGTCGGGTTCCCAAAAACAGTTTTTGAAAAATTTAACTCTTCAGAGTGGTTTAAAATATCGAAATTAATTTTAAAAATCTTATTCCTTCATTATTACCTTACAAATGTATCAAAAAAGCACCGCTAAAGTAGTTTCGAAGAAATTTCCCTAAACGACTCTGAGAACAGCGTTTTGAGAAAAACGCATTTAAAGTTTTGGTAACTCACATCCCCGAAACAAATTTTCGGAGAATATTCTCAAACATACATATGTATAATCGATATAAAAAAAAATATTCACTTTAGCTAATGTGGGTGTAATGGCTTCTAATTTACTCATAAAACCTTCTACTTTTATATAGAATTGAGTGTATAAGATAAGGCACAACCTCAAATCTCGAATAAGTTAATTCAAACAATTAAATTTATTCCTACCACCGACACCTCACGGGTCAATGGTCCGTAGAAGTTCAACATGGCCGTGAAGGCCGCAGGTTGTTACCCAGAATGCGCCGCGCGGAGGCCAACCTGTCTTTCAGCACCCAGATAGATTAAAAAGCCAACTATATATTCAAAGCAAGAACAAAAGTTAAGTTCGGCTGCACCGAAGCACGAATGTATTTCTTATAGCATAAAAGGATATGAAAATATGTTTATCTTGATTTTGTTATGTCAGTTTGAATACCATCTATATATAATATTATAGTCGTTCGATCTGAACAATAGTTTCGGAGATTATAGCGTTAGCTTCGACAGTTTGTATGGCAGTTATCTCTTATAGTGGTACGATATCGGCGTAACCGATGTTCAGGGTATAATAATTTTTAACACTTTTTGCCGCTCTTTATTTATTTAAACAGTTAATCTGACAATTTCTAAAAACTTTATACTTGATATAAATTTAAGATATATTTAACTTATAATTCCGGTAACAATACATTGTTTCAAGAGGCGATTTGTTAACTTATCAGAAATTCCAATTTGAAATAAATTTTTCTTAAGAATAAGCGAACATGAAGCTGCTGCAAAATTAAACTGCAGCTTTTTAATCATACCCTTTTGGCATTCCAATATAGACTTCTTTATTTATTTCCTTTAAATCTCGTAAATTACGCTCCTTTGAGCAACCGATGATGTAAACTGTTTAAGAAATATAACAGCCTCCACTACTTAAAAACCCTTTTAATACAGCTTACAAAAAACTCTGTAACTATTTCGTGGCTTATGCGAGCAAATGACTTATTACCCAGCTTAACAGTACTTTACCAATTTACAGAACTCCTTCAAAGAGTCGAGAGCAACTCTTAAAGCAAATGGTGCGCTTTGTAACATGCCCACAGAGAATAAAGTGGCAGCATGTTTAACAATTACTACAAACTGTAGGATTTAGCAACACACTCGCTAGCTAAACACATACTATTACCCACACGCGTTGCTATTAAGCTCAGTGGTTGGCATATAAACTAAGCCATGTCTGGGACGAAAGAAAGAGAGAAAGAGCGAGAGCTCAGCATTAATCTAACACACAGCTTTCAGGACGAATGTTTGTAGGATACGCTAATGGATTTATTTTAATTTGTAGCCGACAACATACTAGAGATGTGTCGTTATATTTACTACGCAGAAGGCATTAGAGGAATTCGTTTAACAACTGCGCCTAACCTTCACTCCTACAACACATAACTCGCAGAGCATTGTGAAAGGTTAGGAGAGGCTCATAAATAACCTGCGTAATAAGATACAAGTTTTATCTTTTTTTTTGTTGTGTGAAAAATCACTTTGGCGTTTAGTATATTTACATGAATTTATGAATAGTTCTCGAACAATTTAGCAAAAAG